ATAGCTTTTACAATATTTTTAAATGTTTTTTATCAAAGAAAGATTTATTAAATAAAAATGGTGATATAATGAATCAGCTGCTCGTTTAATAGTTCATCTAGAATAGTGCAAAATTTTCAATAAATTATGTTCATTTTAAATAGGTTTATTAATAAAAAAACGATAGCATCTGCTATATAGTTCAATACAATGAGTTACAACCTTTAATGTAACAATTGCATGAACAAACATAAACAATATAGATAATAAAAAATCAGTTTTTGTGATACATAAAAAGTTCAGAAAAAAGAATATAATACTATAGTATAAATGGTGGTTATTGCTTGCATTAGTTTTCATGATTTCTTATGATTCTTTGCATCTCTTCTTTGTTAAATATTTAACAATATCTTCATCTGTAACAAGATCTTCTGTGCTGTTAGCTGATGTTACGGTATGAGTTTCTACAGAAATATAAATATCATGTGTAATTTGTGTAAATGCATCTACAGTGCATTTTGGTACTGTCTGAGTTTCGATTGAAACAAACACTGGTGGTGTCATTGATGTTGAAGTGTTAGCAAAAAATGTTGAGTTTTCATGAATATTACTTATGTTTTGATCTTCTAAAATCTCATTATCTGACAAAGTTCTAGTATTGAAAAGTAAAGATCTATCGTTCGACTAAAGTGTATATATGAAACAAAGAAAAAATGAAATTAATTATTAGTCCTGATAGAAAAATAGAATTTTACTGATGATGAACTCAATGAAATTAAAGATGCATTATATGCTTCATTAGAATGTATTTGGCTCATTTCATCAACATGATTGTCGACAATTGAATTCAGTTTAAGATTGGCTTCTTCATTTTGTTGATTGGACGTATCTATTTTCATTTTTTTTAATGATTGACATGTACTCAGAAAAAAATAAAGGAGGTTTTCAGAACCCCCACAAATGGTTCTGGAAAAACTCAAAAGCTTCCTTTTGAGCTGAAAGTTCCGAAAAAGGAATAAAAAATTTGACAGAACCTTTTAAATGGTTTTTAATTTTACCCACGGGTAGAACCCCCATTCTACAGAACCTTTTTTGGTTTCGCAAAGGAAAAAATGATTTCGTAGAAAAATGCAGAACCATTTGGGTTCTGTACTAAACCATTGAGGGTTTTATACTGAATCGAGACGATTCTGCATTTTTCTACGAAATCATTTTTTCCTTTGCGAAACCAAAAAAGGTTCTGTAGAATGGGGGTTCTACCCGTGGGTAAAATTAAAAACCATTTAAAGGGTTCTGTCAAAATTTTTATTCCTTTTTTGGAACTTTCAGCTCAAAAGGAAGCTTTTGAGTTTTTCCAGAACCATTTGTGGGGGTTCTGAAAACCTCCTTTATTTTTTTCTGAGTATTAACAGGAGTATTATGATCGATATGATTTATTGTTATCTAAAAAAACAAAGTA